TTCTCTTATTATTTTGGCGGCCTTCTCCCATGAAGGTTTCTGAAAAAGAAAAAAGAAGAAGAGAGAATGTGAAGCAGGAACACAATACAAGAAAAAGAAACAAACACAGAAAGAAGATACAGCTTTTGGATGATTTCGACTAAATAGTTCAATTCAATCAACCAAACTTTTAATGCACACAAGTACCGTTCAACAGTTCCATTGAAAATGACGAAAGGGCACCATGAACTAACTCAAGGATCTTGTGGCTTGTCATATGAAACATTACATATATTACAACCTTTAAGATTTTATCTGTATTTTTCTTTTGTGGAAAAACTTAAAAGATTTGAATAAGTTGCAGAAATCCTCAGAATGAAAACTGCGACATAATAAGTTTTCCCATCGTACAGGAGCTAACCTTTGATTTCTGGCTACAAGATGAGATTCTAAATTCTGTGCCATCATGCCATAACCATAAAATATACATACGCAAGTATATAACAAGATTGTATAAAATGATTAATTAACATAGCTAACATTTCATCAAAAGAAATTTGAGCAATTTGTGAAGCTAATTAATTTACCAGACGATTGCTCCAGTAGCACCAAGGAGCATAAAAATTAACAACCAAAATTGGATGCCTGCAAAAGAATTGTTTAATGCAAAATCAGGAATGGTATTATTTTGCAACAAAAGTCAGAAGTCACCCACATCAGTGGCTTTAAATATGAAAGGTATGGAATTAAAAGTTGGCCTACTTACTGGTGAGTAAACTTTTCAAAAGTTCGAGCGGTTAGTGAAACAGAGCCATCACCAGCATATTCATCACCATCCCCATGCTTAATGTCATGGAAAGCGGGTCCTGAGTGGAACTCAGAGCCAGTGGGTTTTAAATCTGGACCTATAGAGAACTTGCGAATTGTTTTCGTTATATTCAATCTGTTCTGAAAATAAGAGGGCACAAATTCAGGCCAGATGGATGCCACACACATCAAGAATATAAAAATTGACTACAAAGGATCTTTAACAATAGGGAGCAAAAATCGATAACAGAATAGATGATATAGACAAAACAAAATGAGAGAGAAACTTACTGTTCCCAACACATCACTCACGTCAACGGATGCAAATTCACATGAGAGTGCAGGAAAACTACATGGAAATTGAGATAATGTTAGTTTTTTAAATAAATAAAACACAAGAAAATAAGAGAGAGAGAGAGAGAGAGAGGCAAGAGGGAGAGGGAGGTAGTGGGAAGGGAGTTTATATAAGTTGATACTTCAAAAGTGAAAGACTAAGAGTTTCCCTGAGTAACAATGGCGGTACCCTGATAACCTAATGCTTTGACAATCTAATTGGCTCCTTTCAGCCGAGTAAAGCATTACCTACAAATTCCCGCGTAATGCACCTAGGAATCATTTGAACCTAATTAAAGCATGCACATGGAACTCAGGCATCACCTTGTCCACGCTTGATAAGTCCTACAACTCTCAACCATGATATTGATGCCAGTCAATATATAATACTACTAAGTATTCATCACATGTGGTTCGGCAGTATCACGTCAAACTAGCATTCAAAAGTTCTGACCATATGTGTCATATATAGGATCTGATAGTGTCGACTCCATATACGAACATAGTAAGCCCAAACATGACTCAATAACTTCATAAACATCGAAAAACATCAATCCAAACTATGAAACTTTACCTTATATTAAATCCAATACGTAAGAAGTCCCCATCAGAACTCTTGTCAACAATAACAGATGTAGAGGTGCTGAAGGCCAAATAACTATTCAGTTCCTGCAAAATGTTCATTGTAAGTACCATCAGATGTAAAGAAATGTCACTATTACTAAATTTAGTAATAAAGTGCCAAAACAGATTACTGAAAAAGGAAAAAGGAAAAAGGAAAAGATGATGGTAAATATAGACATGATGAGGTACATTAGCCACAAGAATATCTCAATTAAAAAAATTATAGAAAAGAAAGAAAACTAATGGAAATTCCAAAAGAAAATTTAGAAATAAAAAAAGGTTACACATCCATACAGGACCAAAACAAGCATTAATTGAGAAAAAAGATCATCACTCATTCTCTAAACAGTCAAAGTTTAATGCTTTGAATAAGTAACCAACTAAAGATATAGGAGCTGCTTTACCATTCCAAATAAAAACATCATGGCAAGAGCTGCTATTATAGATAATCCTGCACCCGATAATGATGCTTCAGTCAAATCCCTTGGAATTTTCCTGGACATAGGAAAACATTTGTAGCATAAATTAATATATATATATATATATATACACACACACACATATATATAAAGCATCAGAACAATCACCATAAGTAAAATAATGCACACTAAATTTCCCCACAGGTCTATTTTTCTTTCTCCTGCTATTCACAAGAAACTTTTGAGAAGAGATGCAAAGCGATCTCCATCTGTATTACCTATAAACTTTATGTATTTAAAATTAGTTTCTTTAATGCATTAGGAAAGTATATACAATTCTAAGCCCATGTAATTTGAAGTTTTTATTTCAATGCACTATGACTCTGAAAGTGGATTTGCTTGCCGATGCTTGTTTTGTATCTTTATTTATTTTATTTTCCCTGGGATTTCCGCCTGCTTTTGCATCCTGTTTCTCTGACTTTTCTACTCCAAACAATAAGAAGAAAATAATAAAGAGACACATCCAGAAGCTAAAACCAATCAATCTTCTAGTGTGAATGTTTCAACTAAGCACCTCCAAATAATCTGCTAATGCTTCCTTACTCTCAGGTAGTGTTGTTGAAATGAACTTTGAAAAGGCATGGGCAAATCTATGGAGTGGCTATTCATTGTTTAGTTGACCAACCCATAAAAAAAAAAAAAAAACCAACAAAATCAAAAGAAAGCAAAATAAAATAGGAATTCCATATCAATGCCCATTCCAGAAAATGTAATTGGCAATTATATTCCTCACCCGTTTGCATCCCTTTCCAATGTTCATCCTAGCAATCAAACACTACAAATTCTTCCAAAAACAACCTAAAACTAACACAACTTACTCGTTCCTACATCAGCCATCAAGATTATCAAACAATAGTTATTCTTTGCCACCAAACTACTCAAAAGCATCAATCTTTTCAAACTTTTCTACACGATTATTACATTAATCATCAATTCTGATTATAACCCAACAATTACTTCAATTCCATTCGCGCATCCAAGCCATTCATTCTCTAACCCACCATAATTCATAACCCAAATGCACCAACGCAATCACACAATGAAATTGAGCTTTCCATAATCAGATTCAGATTTACACACACAACAGAGCTGATGCACAGTGAAGGGAAGTAAAGGAAATGCGAGAGATCTGACCTGTAAAAATCGACAGACTTGATCTTGCCGGTGGAAATCATGGTGGAGATTAAGGGTGTGGATTTCAGAGCAACAGATAGCTCTAATCCCAGTTCCCGAGCAATCAAAATGAATGAAATGGGAGAGAGAGCTGCCTTGCCTACGCCTCTCGCCTTAGCTTCTTTCTCTTTCTGCTCTGCCTTCACGTGTTTTTTTATTGATCCTGTGTGCGACGGTGCAGCTTACTTAGTACGGAAAGAAACTATCACTCTCGTATAAGGGGCCAGATTCAGTGCAAGTGCGGACCCACAATATCTCGATTCTGTAAATTAAATGAGAATAAAGGCTTTCCTTTTATTTTATTCTTTTTCTTTTCTTTTTCCTTGAGCTAATTTAGGTAACACGCAACTAGTAGTTGACTTTTCTTATTTTGTGATGTTAGATTTTTATACTATTTTTATATGGATTTTTTTTTCTTCTAAATCATAAGGGATTATCGAACTCTTAGACATATACTAATTTTATTTCAATAATACTATTTGTATAATATTTATTGACCACTTTGTTGATCACCTCTCTTTATAGAAATGGATCACACTAATGTATGTGAGATCACTTGTATTAGAGAAGTGGTCATTAGTCAGCAATGCGATCATTCAAATAAACAAAATTTGTTTTATTTTCACTTTCGCTCACTTGGGCGCCAACAAAATTATATTTATTTAAGTTTTTATAAGCAACAACCCTTAAATTTTGAGGCTTACATCAAAATGGTATTTCAATTTTTAGTTTAATTATGATCTTCATCTTTTCTCGTGTGCATAAACTTGATTAGAATAAAGCCCAAAACCCTTAGTTTCAAAAGATGTGCACATAATATTCATTAGAATCAAGAACCACTAGTATTGAAAATGGAGTTTTTATTAAAAATAGCCAAAATTTACCATTCACTTTCATAAATATTAGTTTTTATAAATAAATAAATAAATAATTCAAAAATAGCCAAAAACTTACTTAAATAGATAAATGCACTCAAAAATAAAATACACATAAATAAATAAAAGCATGTAAATGAAGAAAATAGGAGAGTGATATCTTACAGGCACCCAATAGGAAAGTGACATTTGAATTAATCCATCCGCCAATTCAGTAACTTGTTTCGACTTTCCTTGTAATGTGCAATTATATGCACAATTTTCAATTCACTCTATTACAAGGTTTGGAAACAAAAAATCCATAACCCAATTTTCAATTCTTCTAGTTGTGATCAACCCAATTTTGGGGGTTTGAATAGTTCTTGTATGATTTGAACAACTAATTTTAATATCGACTTTCATAATCTTGGATGATAATAAAATTGAAGATTGCCAAGACTTTCAGACGCTAGGAAGCACAACCATGTATTTAATTTTTGTACTAATGTATTGGAATTACTCCAATTCCCTCCCGATAACACATAAGGAATCAAAATTGATGTGAGTTTCAAACATAATAGGACTTGTAATATGGTAAAAAAAGAAGTTAAGGTGGCAACCTGAAAATAAAAAAATAAAAAAAATAGTGATCACGTGACTTGCATGTGACTCTTTTCACGAAAAATTTATTGCTTTTTTGTTTTCACCCTGGGCATTTTCATTTTGTAAACTCAAGCTCATGAATCGTTGTGATTTGATTTCATTGCCCCTTCTGCAGTAAACGGTAGAATAGAAGGTTTCAAAACTCAGGCAGTTGTATTCAACCTCCATCATCAGCGTCATCCTCATCATCATCAGCCCCAAAGCTAGAGAGAGTGAGAGATGGCAAGTGTAGCTGCGCTAAGAGCCTTGAGGAAACGAATCAGTCCTTCCTTCACGTCACGAATTATCGCTTTCACCTCCAATTCTCGATCCGTAAGTTCACTTTCATTCATTCACCACAAATATTCAAAATTCACTTCAAAATCTTTTCAATTAGATATGGCAGTTCAACTATTCAATCTAGTTAATAATTATTTTTTAATTGTATATAATTTTTCAAATGATTGAATAGATTAGCACACTGGTGTTAGCTGAACACGAAGGTGGTGCTATCAAGCCCCAATCAGTGAGCGCGGTAAAGGCTGCAAAATCTTTAAGCAACGACAATCCTATTTCATTGCTATTGGCAGGCTCCGGCTCTGCCCTTCACGAAGCCGCAGCAAATGCCGCTTCATGTGACCCTTCAGTTTCTGAGGTATCTCAAATGGCGTCGACAGGTTCTTTTTAATCTATGATAAAGTCTTGTGCTTGATGTTGTTTTGGTGGCGTTTTTGCTTATTTCCAAATGGGTTACTGACCCAATTGATTGAATGGAATTTTTTGGTTGTTGGTAAATATTAAATGGGATATTGAAAATTGTGGAGTGTTATGGTATGTGATCAATTACTGTTGTGTAGGTTCTTGTCGCTGATTCTGATGAATTTAGTCATCCTCTAGCAGAGCCTTGGGCTA